ACAACTCTTAGTAAAAGTCACAACTCATCGAAAAAGTCACAACGACCCTTCGAATAAAATCACAACTTATCAAAAAAGTCACAACTCATCGTAAAAGTCACAACCTAAGTTAGGGATATTATAGTAATTTAACATTCAAATTAGGAGTTCATGCTTTTAAGGTAATATAGATATAGATATAGATATATAATTCTAAACAAAAGATAAATGTTTTGTTAAATTTTAATCAACTTAAGTCTTTAACTTTACCATTTTTCAAGCTCAACGCTTAAATTTTAGCCCAACTATTACAACCCTAAGTCCAAGTCCATCAAAATCTATTACTCTAGTCTTTAACTACTCTACCTCACATAAGATAGTCACACTTTCTCTTAATTGAATCACTTTGTTCGTGTAATAATAACTCTAGCATTGCTTAATTGCTCAATTGAACTCACAGTTGCTAGTAGCTTTCATTGTTCATGTACTAGGTGTCTGTGTCTATCGAGATACGTATGTCCTCACAAAATTTATTACTTTGAAATTGAAAAAATCAGAAAAATCGAACCAAACCGAAAATAACCAAATCGATGGCTTTTTTATTTTTCATTTGATTTGGTTTGGTTTGAGAAATTTAAAAATCGACTAAATTGGTTTAGTTTTAGTTTTTACCAATAACCAATTCAAATCGAACCACGAACTCCCATAGGGATAGGGGTGAGGATGGGGACTATTTGGGTGAATTGAAGATGAAGTGTGTTAGAGGATTAGGAGGACACAATTAATGTAGAATGCTACTTGTAAAACTTGTTTTTCCTATTTTTACTTGGGGACATTATTTTTTTTTTCTAACTTGTCATAGAGAAAAGTATTTTCTAAAAATTTTGACCAATCAAACATGAAACGTATTTCTCCATATAGAACACACCCCAGATCTTTTCTTTTAGTCGCAGAAGGAGGATTAGGATAGAGAAAAGCGTGGTCGGGTATGTGCTAGGGGTGAAGATGTTATATGTATCTAGGGAGACTATTGGCAATGAATACTTCTTAGTTTTCCTTTAGAAATAAGATTGAACTATAAACAACCACAAGGCTTTGATAGAGTGATAAGAGAACATCGTGTGCCATGTGATTTAGACATATCATGGCATCATATACCACACTATAGATAAAAGTCAAATACTTAAGAGGAGAAGAATAGAGGTATGGACTGGTCATTCATCCAAGTTTCCAACCCGTGCTTCATTGACACTCGGAGATTTCTAGATTATAAAAAAGAAGAAAGAAGATTGAAATCTATACAACTTGGACTTAATATGTTGTGGTTTGAATGTCAACATGATGAAACATGTGACAACTTGTTGAGAAAAGCAAATGCCCAAGGCCTAGGCCCAAAATTTTAGTACTTGTTGAAATATAGAGCTGCATTAGATGTTTACAAAGCTCTACAACGAATTTGGTACAAAACTGAAACCCTTCCAAAACACGAAGGAAAATATATCTTAGACAATCTAACGATTTCCCCCCATCAAATGAATTGAAAGAGGGTACATCAGTTTCAGTTTCTTGGAGTAAACCATATAAAAAACATAGCAAGAATGATGGTGGAAGCTGTGAATGATTTCATAATGAGTAACCTCCATGCTCCATGTTAGAATGCGCGGTGAAGAAATTGAAGTCATGGTGACTATAAGAAAGCTGCTTCAGCCATGAACCTGCAGCATTTTGAAGATCACATAGGTTTTCATAGTCCTTTTGTATATGAGTGTTTAGCCATACATCATTTTGCATCTTGTATGCAGCTAAACCGAATGGACTAAAACGAATTCCACCCTCACCCTTCCTTTCTCCATCAGGTTTCTCTTCTGCAACATCTAGAAACAAAAGGCACATCACTCACTCAAGTAGGATAGAGTAATACCAAAAAATTCTTACATTGTCAGTGTATAACTTAAATCAAATATAGCGAGTTTAAAATGCATACCTTGGAAAGTTGATGACAATGTATGGTAGGTAAGAAAACTTGCAGAAACATTTTTAGTAATTCCTTTCATTGGAACATGATAGATTGGATACCTAATAATATGATGTAAAGCAAAAAACTTAGTAATTCCTTTCATTGGAACATGGTAGATTGTTTCCCATGGGAATACCTCATAGTTTTTAACCAAAGTTTCAGGCCATGCTGAGGTGCCACTTTAAGGGCATCCCAACTTCTGAATAGCATTCCAAGATTAACCTTAACCATATATTTTGAAAAGAAAGAGTAGTTTATCGCGAAAACAAATCATTTACCAATATAGAAAAGAATGGCCCCAAATAAGGTAGAATGGATATAGGAGACTCATAAAGCTAATCCTAACTAGTCCAATATCTAGGCATAATTGATTGTTAGAAATAATTTGAGAAAGATAACAGAGTTGTGGCTCTGACAGAGCACGACTTTTCCTCTTCCAGAAGTATACCAATTTGTGAGTTCCTCTCAAATGTCATATCCCATGAGCTAAAAATCAAAATCACCTCACACTGTAATCTTCATTTTTCATGTTATTAAAAATTATGCAAGAATGTTAGGAACTTCAGTGTGACCCTCTTCCAATGGTCAAAGCAACATCTCCCCTAAACTTGTACCTCAGCCTGGTGGTATTACCCAAAAAGAAGCAATTTATTTTCCTCCACCATTGACAGTGTTCTCCGTTTTTGGAATGTAACAGTGCCTTCATTCCTGTGATTTGAATTGCCTCTTCTATTGGCATAAACAGAAACATTACTACCAGATCCTTCTACTGCTTCCTTCAGAAGGACTATCAAGCGACGGCACCCAGCTGCTGCCAGAATATTTCTTTATCCCGTTTACTTTCATTGCCGATCTTAGGTTGTTTGCATCGCTGCAATAACCAAAAGATAAGACAAACTAGATGCAAGTACATAGTTTGATCCGAGACCAGGCCCTATTTTAAGGAGAATCTCCCTTATATTTTCTTCTGCGCAAGGAATATGACCATGATGCTTACAAGCACTAATGAAACTCCTCAATATCACAGAATTAGGCTCTGTAGGAATGCTCCTGATAATATCATAAGCTTCTTCTAATTTCCAGCACGTCCAAACATATCCACCATGCATTCGTAATGTTCCATAGTTGGCCTGATGTTATAAATACTTGCCATTTTTTCAAAATATTCACGGCCGGTATCAACAAAGCCAATATGACTACAAGCATATAAGATTGTAGAAAATGATAAGCTATCCGGCCTAAAGCCAGATTCTTCCATTCTGGCAACAAGGACACAGCGTCTTCTTTATGTCCATGATCAGCAAGACCAGAAATCATGATGGTCCAGGTTTACAAATTTTTATCATCCATTGAATTGAATATGCAGAAAGCCTGCTGTATAAGACCACATTTTGCATACATGCCCAAGAGGGCTGTTTCCAGCTCAACATGTAGTTCAATACCACTGGTAACAATGTGCGAGTGAACACATTTACCTAATCTGATATTCAGGATACGAGTACATGCCCCCAGCAAGCTAACTAAAGTGACAGAATTTGGCTTTTCATTTGCTAGCTTCACACATTGGAACAGGAGCAGAGCATCTGAAGGCAAGTTACTGAGATATCCAGGAAAACATTGACTATTATGACTTTGAAAAGCCAGACAAAAAGAAAAAATCTCACAGTAAAAGTTAAACAGGAAAAGAAAATAGGAAAGACAATCATATTAATAGACCTCCTACACAAAAAGAGAGGTCAAGGTAGCAATACCAAAAAGGGATGAAAAGCGAACATAAAATCCCATTAAACTGGTCCCTCTATATGATCAGGTACAAACTATTCAACTACTTCTACGTCTATAAAAGAATTGATTCACTATATGAAAAAAATGAGCATATCACATGTAGCGGAATTTGGCTTAATAAATTTATAGAATTCACTTAGGTGACATCCTGAATCACACTTATATGATATCAAATGAAATTGAATAAGACGAGAAAGTATTGACAAAACGGTTGGAGACCTCTGCAGGGAGAACAAGTAGAATTGTTGTCATTACTTCAACTATGAGGAGAAATATCCAAATGTTCGGAGACTTCATCAAGAGAAAGAGTCAAGCCTGATTATATTATCTCTATTGTCTCCTTATTCCCTATTTATAAATGCAAAACCCCTTATACTCTCCCTTGGGAAAGACAAACTAACCATAGTATCATTATAAAGTCGTCGTCGTTTCAATGTTTAATTCAAAGTTTATCTCAAAAGAAACTTAATTATAGGATTTCTCGTTATTTTTCAGGTTAGAATTTGACATGGGAATCCATCCATATGCAATCCGGACAACTAAACAGCAGCAATGTTAGACTATTAGACCAAGTTACTGTCCATAATCCACTTTAGCTTGTTAGTTTTAGAATACTCACGACCATTGGAGTCATGAACTAGCTTCCTTTCCAAAAGTTTTGTAGGTAAAAAGTCCAAAGATTGGTTTGCAAAAATTGGGTTTCAAAGCTTAGTGTTTTTATTGGACATGAATGTACATAGAGATTCCAGAATTAAAAATAAAAAATCTAACATGCTCTGATGTATGCAAAAGTAAACAAATACAGTAGTGAGACCAGCATACCTAAATACAAAAGGCTGGGAGTGTTGCTCACATCCCAACCATGAAAGTTTTCCTTCTTTGTTAATTCCCCATTTTAAAGAGTGTCATCGGGACCTTTCCAAGATAAATACCAAAATCTAAACCATGAAATTTTTCTCCATTTTTACTTCCTTATTTTTCAGGAGTACATGCTCCTTTCCAATTTAAAAGAGACAATTCCAACCCCAAAATTTTTCCATCATTATTAATCCCTGATCATTTAGGAGAGTATGCAGCTTTCACAATTTTAAAGGCTCAACACCTTATTGATCCTTTCAGATATGAACCCTAGGCATCGTTTAACAATCTATTGCAGTATTGCAGCAAGAAGGAAAAAGAAAAAAAGTTAGACTAGTGAACAAGTTTGGAACTCCTTATTCAAGCTAAAATATCCAAGTAATAGTAATACTGGTTTCTTCTTATGGTACAAAACAAGTATTCACAATCGACATTTGGGATGAATTTTAAAAAGTTCACTAAGAGTATTAGATCACAGATATCTGCTCAAGAGAACCACAAATACCATGGCACTAAATTTCTGAAGCATAACGAACAAGGTTACAAGCTAGCATTGTTCATAAAAATTGTGACCTATTATGTGTCAGACCTATCAAAAGACGGTTAACTTACAAATTCCTCACAAAACCATACTTGAACTCGTTTCCACAAAGTAGTAAACTTGTCATGCTCAAAATCTACTTACAGTTTGGTAATTCTATTCATTCCCATTATAATAATCATCTTAAACAACTTCCACATAATGCTATGGAATCTCTCAGCCTTCGCACACTTGTCGGGTTCACAAATCATAAATAATGTACTAATTCCAGAGTAATCAATAGATACATGAAATCTCTTTTAGAAGGAGAAAGAAGAAGAAACTGTAAATAATAAGACAACAATTACTACTATCATGCTTGAATCACAAGTAGTTAAAATCAGCTATATGATCCCTAATACATAGATTGTGATAATTGGGGTGTGAAATTCGTATAAAAGTCAATATGTGTTTTTGACAAATAACTGAAACAAATATACATACCAATGAACGTAAGCAGCCATCATTGAACTCCAAGAAACTATATCCCTCTCAAGCATTTCATCAAACACCTGTCTTGCAAACCTGATCACACCAATCCAGCATACATTCTCAAAATGGTATTGTTCACATGTAAATCTGAACCAAAACCCGACTTCACAGCCATGGAATGCAATGATCCACCCGTTCCAATCATCAAACAATGCCCAGAAACATTTAGCACGACAGCGAATGTGAATTTATCTGGTTTTGATCCGATTTTTTGAAACTGTTCGAAGAGTTTCAGAGACTCTACTGGGGAATATGCTCTCATCATTGTGTTCCATGCGAAGATTGATTGAATTATGTGAGAATTATCAAAAATTGTACGGGTGAATTGGAGGGATATTGAAGAAGATAATGATATGAACTGGGAGAGATGATAGTGGTCGTGATGAATGCCAATTTGTGGCTCTGACAGAGCACGACTTTTCCTCTTCTAGAAGTATACCAATTTGTGGAGTTCCTCTCAAATGTCATATCCCAACTGATTTGATACATTTGTCATTATTTTTTCCGTATATTCTTCCTAATTATGTTCTTCATTTTTACTACTAATAGTTGTTACTTCGATTACTTTATTTATTTTGCTGATTATGTTTCTTTGATCTTAATAGCGATTAAAAACTGCTGACCCGGGTTGGAAATATGGGAAAAGAACAAGTGAGACCAATAGGGTAGCAATTGAGTGTAACTTTTATAAGAAAGTTACTAATGGCAGAATCTTTCGTCACAAACAACACCTGATTGGTACTTGCAAGGACGTCACACGGTGTGAACAATGCCCGAATGCTATAAGGGAAGAAATGAAAAAATATGTTGATGAAAAGAAGGAACAAAAACATCAGGCTTTACTTCAATCGGATGTGACTAATATTGGTGATGATAAAGATGGAGATATGGAAAAAGGTGAAGCTACTAAATAGTCACTTCCTTCAAAATCACGAAAACAGTCATAGAATGCAACAATCATAGAAACCATTATGGTTTAAGGGGGAATACTAAATGCTTACAAAGGACGGGAAAAGAAGTAGCTACATGCCTAGTTGATGAAGCTGAGTAAGATTATGGTTTTATGATTGTTGCATTCTATGACTATTTTCGTGATTTTGAAGGAAGTGACTATTCAGTAGCTTCACCTTCTTCCATATCTTCATCTTTATCATCACCAATATTAGTCACATCCGATTGAAGTAAAGCCTGACTTTTTTGTTCCTTCTTTTCATTAACATATTTTTTCATTTCTTCCCTTAGAGCATCCGGGCATTGTTCACACCGTGTGACGTCCTTGCAAGTACCAATCAGGTGTTGTTTGTGACGAAAGATTCTGCCATTAATAACTTTTTTTACAAAAGTTACACTCAACTGCGGCCCTATTGGTCTCACTTGTTCTTTTCCCATATTTCCAACCCGGGTCAGCAATTTTTAATCGTTGTTAAGATCAAAGAAACATAATCAGCAAGATAAATAAAGTAATTGAAGTAACAACTATTAGTCGTAAAAATGAAGAACAGAGTTAGGAACAAGATGCATAAAAAATAACGACAAATGTATCAGATCAGATTGATGATAACAAAACGGCTTAACCAATGTGACAGAATTTGGCTTTTCATTTGCTAGCTTCATACATTGGAACAGGAGCAGAGCATCTGAAGGCAAGTTATTGAGATATCCAAGAAAACATTGACTATTCTGACTTTGAAAAGCCAGAAAGAAAGCAAAAACCTCACAGTAAAAGTTAAACAGGAAAAGAAAGCAAAAAAGAGAATCATTTTAATAGACCTCCTACACAAAATGAGATGTCAAGGTATCAAATATTCATTTGCATACCAAAAAGGGATAAAAAGCGAATATAAAAGCCCATTAAATTGGTCCCTCTATATTATCAGGTACAAACTATTCAACTTCTTCTACGTCTACAAAGGAATTGATTCGTTATATGAAAAAAAATGAGCATATCACATGTAGCGGAACTTGGCTTAAGAAATTTATAGAATTTACTTAGGTGACATCATGAATCACACTTTTATGATATCAAATGAAATTGAATAAGACGGGAAAGTATTGACAAAACGGTTGGAGACCCCTTCAGGGAGAACAAGTAGAATCGTTGTCATTACTTCAACTATGAGGAGCAATAGCGAAATGTTTGGAGCTTTCATCGGGAGAAAGTCAAGCCTACTTATATTTTGTCTACTGCTCCCTATTCCCTATTAATAAATGCAAAGTCCCTTATACTCTCCCATGGGAAAGACAAACTAACCATAGTATCATTATAAAGTTGTTGTCCTTTCAACGTTTAATTCAAAGTTTATCTCAAAAGAAACTTAATTTTAGGATTTCTCTTTATTTTTCAGGTCTAAATTGCAGACAGAATTTGACATGGGAATCCATCCATATGCAATCCGGACAACTAAGCAGCAGCAGTGTTAGACTATTCGATCAAATTACTGTCTATAATCTGCCTTAGCTTGTTAGTTTTAGAATACTCATGACCATTGGAGCCACGATCTAGCTTTCTCTTTCCAAAAGTTTTGTAGGTAAAAAGTCCAAAGATTGGTTTGCAAAAATTGGGTTTCAAAGCTCAGTGGTTTATTGGACATGAATGTACATAGAGATTCCAAAAATTTTAAAAAAAACTAACATGCTCTGATATATGTAAAAGTAAACAAATACAGTAGTGAGACCAGCATACCTAAATAAAAGAGGCTGGGAGTGTTGCACGCATCTCAACCATGAAAGTTTTCCTTCTTTGTTAATTCCCCATTTTAAAGAGTGTCATCGGGACCTTTCCAAGATAAATACCGAAATCTAAACCATGAATTTTTTCTTCATTTTTACTCCCTTATTTTTCAGGAGTACATGCTCCTTTCCAATTTAAAAGAAAAATTCCAACCCCGAAAATTTCCATCATTGTTAATCCCTGATCATTTAGGAGCGTATGTAGCTTTCACAATTTTAAAGGCTCAACACCTTATTGATCCTTTCAGATATGAACCCTAGGCATTGTTTAACAATCTATTGCAGTATTGCAGCAAGAAGGAAAAAGAGAAAAGTTAAACTAGTGAACAAGTTTGAAACTCCTTATTCAAGCTAATATATCCAAGTAATAGTAATATTGGTTTCTTCTTATGGTACAAATTAAGTATTCACAATCGACATCTGGGATGAATTTTAAAAAGTTCACCAAGGGTATTAGATCACAGATATCTGCTCAAGAGAACCACAAATACCATGGCACCAAATTTCTGAAGGATAATGAACAAGGTTACAAGCTTGCATTGTTCATAAAAACTGTGAATCGAGATTAAGGAGCTATTCTAATGAATTCTAGCTCGGATTGGCTACTTGATGTGCCCTTCCATGGATAATCAGATAATTTAAGATCAATAACTATTTTGTGGGATTTATGCTTATACACCGAGAAGATATTGAGATGGAAGCTCTCCCGTAGTTGAGGTCGGGTTTCTAGTAGCAAACTCCCTATCCCATAACTATGTGTCACCATAGGTTTGTCTTAGATAGACATTAGCTAGTGGATCCACCTAAGCTAGAAGTTTATGGTTCTTACCTTGACAAGTAAGGACATCTCTTTTCGGTATGGGATAGACACCGGATTCCATGTTATGGCTCACATGGTCTATGTCCGTTAAAGGTAATCTCCCACAATAATGAACTAAGGTTACTTCCAGAAGTATCTCAAATATGTTTTAAAGATGTTTAGCTTGCATTGACCATGATTATGACTTACGCTTTTTAACATGTTATTTTATTATTTATCTTGGTCATTGCATGTCATGTAAAGTCCTTTCTAGCGTGATTTCATAACTCTTATGTATTGCTATCATACTTAGTACATTCCATGTACTAATGCATACTTGTGCCTACATTGTTGTACTAATGTAGGGTCCGACGCTTCCATTCCGCGCACTCGTGGCTAGTGATCCCATATAGACATTGAAGATTGGTGAGTCCTCATGTTCTGAGGACCGAGATTCTTTTATTGTTTTCACGTCTTTTTATTTCAATTTTTGTATGTGATGTATGGTTACGTCTCAATCACTCCTATGATGTAATAGATGACTTGAGACTTACGTTAGACTTCTGCTATTTTTGTCAAACTCTTTATAATTCAAAAAGTTTTTTGAACTCTTTAAGATTCTATTATCTTGTTTATGTATACTACGTGGCTTGTATAGGGTTTCTCGGGGTCCTATACACTATATTACGACTAGGGTGTATTTTGGGTCATGACAGTTTGAGGCTCTAATGTTTCATCGAGCCCACTATGGCGGTAGGCGTCCCGCTATAGCGACACTCAGACTGTTATAATGGGTTGGGGCACTATAGCGGGGTGAAACACAATTTTATGCAGAAATAACCCTAAAACCCTTATTTTCTGCAGTTTGTGTTCTTGGAGTTGGGAGGGGTGATTTTGGGCAGTTTGCACTCATTTTTTCACGGAATTTGTCAGTAAAGGTAAGTTCTTGACTCCCAACCTTGTGCATTGATTCTGAAGTCGTAGAATCTAGGTTATTGCTCTTAGGGGAGGGTTTTGACATGATTTCATGGTGGGAAAAGCTCTAAGTTGGGGAAGATGATCATATATTTGTCTGGGATTAGGGTTTCTCGATGATCCAGGTAAATTATAGGCCATTAGTGATTGATTATTGCTTTTATTATTTATTTTACACCAAGAAAAAGTTAAGGATATTCACAAGAGGAAAGCTCGAGTTCTTTAGAGTTTCTAAGAGGCTTGATTCGAAGTAGGTGATGGTTGTATATTTTCAGTTTATGTATGTATGCGTGCATGTCTACTCCTTTGTAGTGTCACTGAGACTATGCATGGTAGTGAATACATAGGGAGACATGACATGGCATCATGTAGGTAATCCAATGTAATAGACTTGGTATTATGACTTAAGGTTTTCAAGTGGTATTGTTTATTGTCCGTGTGATTGTGCATGATTGTTTGTGATTGTTGGTTGGTTCAGGTACCACACCAGTACACTAACTATATATGATTCAGGTAACACGCTGGTACACTATTAGTTTTGGTTTGGGTTCCATGAGAGGACCTGGTATGTTATTGTGGTTCCATGAGAGAACCGGGCATTTGATCCAAGACATCAATTAAGGGACACTTGATTCTAAATCCAAGGGTGAGCTACATCTTTCACGATGCCATGTATTTCTCTGATTTTCTTGTCCATCTCTTTTGACACAAACATTAGCTTTAGTTTTATGTTTAGTTTCAGGGTTGCATCCCCAGTCTTGATTATTAGAGTTTTGGTATGGTTACTTTCAATTCTTAGGGTTATTTCTGCATTAAATGTCTTTGGATTCAAGGATTGAGTTTATGGGGACTCAATTCTTTAGTTGTCTAAATTGTTATTTCTTATTTATGACAAACTTGGTTTTATTAAAATGGTGTTGGGTCAGTCCTTGGTTCTCCCACCAGGTGATTTAGTGTGGGTGTCACTCACGATGGT